AACCTTACTACCCATGTATTTCTTGAACTCTTGATTTTTTCTTTCCCCATCTTCCTTACCAGCCTTACGAGATTCCTCAAGGGCAACTATTAGTGATTCAAGACATAATAAACACAAACTAAACTCTCACAAATGATTTATTCCACATATGATAGGTCTGAACAGGAGGAACCATGCAAAAAAAAAAAAACCACAAAAAAACAATGAACTAACGGGTTTTGAGATGGTCATTGGCTTACGAACAAGGCTTTAAAAGCCTAAAAGTTGTACTTTTACCCCAAATAATGCTTTGAATGATGATTTGGGACCCTCAAGTTGCTCAAAACTGTAGAAAACTCTTTGAAAGCATCCAAAATGCAAAAAAAATTCAGATTCTAGGAACTATGCACGTCAGCGCATGAAGTCACGTGCAAGGACTGTCGCTGGCGCGTGAATTCCACACATAAAACACTCCACTGGCACGTGGAGGCGCGTGCGACGGAGAAAGGAGGTGATACTTTGAGTTCTGATTGGATTCCTGCTCTTGAACATGATGGTCAGGGTGGTTTAGCGATTTGACATTGGGAAGTGGGGGTTTTTGGGTAGGCAGCGTGGAATAGGGTCTGCGAGGTTTTCAAGTGAGTTTTATGTGATTTTCAGGTGACGGAAATGACCAAAGAACGTAGGAACACAAGCTTTGATACCATACTGATGTAACACACACTTACACATACTTGCATGGTGCTGACAGAGGGAAAGGGTAGAGAGAAATTAGAAATAAGGAGGAAGAAATGAGGAAGATGAAGACAGAACAGTGGGGGAGCAAGGGGGAGAGGCAGAACGCAGAGGGAGAGAGAAAGCTATAAGATTTCACACATAATGCTCATTCATTCATCAAAAGTGTTATTACAAGAGCAAAGCCTAATCTATTTAAACTAAACTTTCCTATCTATTAAGGAAACCTTGATAACTTGGCTAGATAAAGCTAAGGTTCAGATTTCCCTCTTTACAAAGTATTAAAATAATGCAAAAGTAACTTACTTTTTCCTAGATAGGTTTCTTGCAAGCAACATACAATGATAATAAGCTACTAGCCTGGATTTCTTCAAATATGTTGATCTCATATTTCATCAATATGCTTTTATTATTTTTTAATATCTTCTTTCTTTTGTATCCTAGGTGAAGAAAAGGCTTTGAGTTGGAATGAAAGGCTTCAAATTGTTATTGATATTTCACACGGAATTGAATATCTTCATGAAGGAGTATGTTTTTTTTAAAAAAAGATATATATTTCTTGTACGTTATGTGAGAATACATTTGTTTAATATCAATATGCATGGAACAGGCAGTCCCACCTGTTATACATCGTGATTTGAAGTCTGCCAATATATTGTTAGATCATTCAATGAGAGCTAAGGTAAGCTTTCTTTCGTGTGATTTGATATGTTAGATTTCCAATGTGGTTTCTAAAATTTGCATATGATATTCTATCCTTCCATGTTATTGTGATTCAATAAATCTAGTAATTTTCATTAATAAAAGAAGAATTTCAAGGGCATTTGTTTAAGAGATTTTATAGTGATTTTTTTTTTGGTTATTTGCTTAGTAAAAAGAATTTAACATTGAAGTTATCAAATGCATTGACGATTATCTTCATATACATCACACCTAGCCTACATTCCTTTCTCGGTTTCCCCAAGGTTGGAAGATCTATGTTTTGCATATGGGGGTTAGTACTGGATTGCTGGTTATATTATCTTCGGTGAATTTATGTATAACTTACTTTTGTTGTTCCTGTTCCCACAAAAGCAATTTGAGCGGCTGGTATCTTGCCTATCCTGTGTAAACAGTTGAGTTGAGTAGACGCAAAGTACATCTCTAGCCACATCAGAAGTCTAAAGAGAAGACTGGACTTTTCGATTTTGATAGTCTTAAAAAGACCGGAGGGGGGGGGGGGGGGGACCCTTCTCATTCATTTCCCCGCACTTCACCTTTTCAAAATCTTCTATATCATACCCCACTGGTTCTTATAGGTCAGGTGTAAATTATAGAGGTGACTTGTGATCTCTAACTTTAAGTTGTTTTGGTTAATGTGAAACGCCATCAAATTATTGACAAGCGGAAATTTTTTAGTAATGTATAGATGATAAATATATATATGTATATATAAATATAATTATTTATATACTTGTTTAATAGTATCGATTGGCCCTGTTGCCTAACATTTGTTGGCCACTGCTCTCTTTCCCTCCTCTGCCCCTTGTGTATTTCCTCTTCAATTTTTATCGCTAGGAGGCAAATTCCTGCTTAATAACACAGAAGATTTTGCCAGACTTATTCTTACCCCATTCATAAGAAAGTTTTTTTTTTTTTCTTTTTGGGGAGTTTATACTTATCTTGTCCACCCCAAGCAGTTTGCTTTATATATATTCTTTTCTCGTAGGCTCATGTGATATGACTTTCTAACATGTCATAGTTGCTCATTCTTGTGATAACTTCAACGTAACAATCAGGGAAAAAAAAATTATTGTGACTGTGGATGCTAGCGTTTTAGTTTGAATCATCTATGATTATATATCTAAACTATTTTCCAAATTGTGATTGTGTAGGTTGCTGATTTTGGGCTGTCAAAGGAAGTGATCTTTGATGGCCGGAATTCAGGCCTTAAAGGTACATACGGCTACATGGACCCAGCATACATTTCCACAAACAAGTTCACAATGAAGAGTGACATCTACAGTTTTGGTATAATCATTTTTGAGCTCATTACAGCCATCCACCCGCATCAAAATTTGATGGAATATATTAACCTTGTAAGAATTTCTTTCTTTTTTTTTCTTTATGCCATGGAAATCCTTGATACTCGCATTGTAATCCATCCTCCTAGATCTCCTTTTGGGTTTCTTCTAATTGGCTCATCTCTTTCTGTAAGGCTGCTATGGATCATGATGGCGTGGATGAGATACTTGACAAACAACTTGTAGGAAAATGCAACCCTGAAGAAGTAAGGCAGCTTGCTAAAATTTCATATAAATGTTTGCACAAATCTCCTAGGAAACGCCCCTCCATTGGTGAGGTTTCACAGGGCATATTGAGAATAAAAGAAAGGCACCTTGTGAAAGAAGATACCTTGTCATTTGCAGGCAGTAACTTTTCCAGAGCTTTGAGTCGAATAGAGGATCAACAAGTTGAATTAAATAGGTTAGCTACCATGAACCACAGAGAAACTGGGTGAACACAATTGCTTTTACTTGGAGTGGAATCTCTTTCTGTACTCGTTTGGAAACAACTGAGATGTACAGGAGATTGATGAAACAACTACGAAATTTTGAAGCTACTGTCTCAGTTTTCTGCAAATGTTGTTCTTTGCTGACAGTTTCATTCACGAAGGGCGCATTCCGTGTTTGATTCTTGATAGTTCTGGACCTCTGGTGCAGGAGAGCAGAGAACCAAGCACGTTATTTTCAACAGGATAATTGATGATGATTATATCAGTTTTAAAATTCTTTGAAGTAAACCATCATCTGCCTTCCATGCTGACAAAAATCTACGTCTTTGGAGGAAAATAGGATTACGGAGAGGGCCACCGAGCAACGCAGGAATGTAGTAAAATGAAACACCAAAACCCCCCCCCCCAAAAAAAAGTGTGTAAATGTGAGAGAGAGAGAGAGAGAGAGAGAGAGAGAGAGAGCCAATTCAGACGAAAGAAAACGGCATTTTCCCTTCACTTGTTCATTTAAACAGGATAGAACCTGTCCCTTCGGGGACATCAATTTTGGAAACAAGACGGAACCCAAGGTAAATGCACATTGCTATAACGTTCTTTTGTATGGCCCTGGCCCAGTGAAATCATGAGTTTTTGTTTTTGGACCTGACATCTGAGTTGATTAACTTGCTTTGTATCCTGCGAGTAGTAATAGCAGCACTCAACGGGGATGGACCTGCGTACAGGTCTTCGGTGCCAGTGCCTCACATGGAAAATTCCATTTTGCTTATTTTTATTTATACAATGTATATAATATAGGTGATCTCCATGCTCCCTCAATTTTTTATTGTTAGAGAAATTATCACTTTTGATTTATATTTTTTTATAAGTAAAATTACCCATTATGATAAACATTTATTGCATATTTTTTAAATCACCCCTCGTAATTTACATTAACGACAAACAATTAATGTATACTTATGTTGATTAATATAGGGCATTTCAGTTTACTTTTTTATTTTTAAACATAATTATTATAATTAATTGACTTTTTTAACTGTGAGATATAGGGCCTGTTTGGAAACTTGTTTTGAAAATAGTTTCTGTTTTCAGAATTAGAACAAAAAAATTTGTTTGATAATATATTTTTAAAATGTGTTTTTGAAAAATAAAAAATAAAATATTGTTTTGGAGAACAAACAAATGAAAATAACTTTTAAGTGTTTTAAGATTATTGTTCTGGAAAACAAGAGAAAATGAGAAAAATACCTGTTTTTATTTTTATTTTTTTTATTTTCAAAACATATTTTATAAAATATCAATTTTTAAAATAATAAAATAAAAATAACTTCAAATAGTCCTGTAGTATTTTCTCTTGTATATATAAAAATGGAGAGAGTATTTAATAATATTAGTCCTAATTCCCAATATGCGTACACGATGTATTTGTATGTTACCCAACATACTAAAATTTGTGGGTCCCTCTCAGCACTAGAGTGGATGAAGTTCTGCTGGTTCAATTTGCATACAGCATAGCGTTAAGCCACGGTCAAGCATGATGCTTCATTTGCTAGAAAGCCATTTAGACGTAATGTATAACACGAAAATTTAGATTCGATTTTCACACACTTGGTGATATTTCTGCAAGTAATCTCGAACCAAATCGCAAATGATGACTTTCACTTAACTACATTTACATTGTTTAGAAGCATGGTACTTTTGAAGCCCTTTGAAGAGAAGGGATTCAGGGACAAATTTTCAATCTTTTGTGGCCAGGGGATTGGGGGTGCGTCGTGACGAATGCACCACTCACACCTTGAGTATGGAATCAAATCTCACAAAATAATTTATAGTAGCAGTAATAATTTAAGGCAACGGAAGAATTTTAGCAACACACAAACTGTTTATAGCTTCCCAAGAGAAACACTGTATTTGCATCAAGGCAAACTTATTTTCGTGTATCTCTATGATCTGATTTATTCATCATGCTAACAAGTGAACATAAAGAGGAAACATATTGAGAACACAATCTCCACATCTATTGGTACCTCTACATGCTGATGCAAGAGCTTTCTCCGCCAACCTATTCATATTATATGGCAACTAAATACTCCTGCTCAGAACACGGAAATAAATCTTCTGCATCTCTTTATGTCTATAGTTCAGGCTATCACCTGACACATCGAATTCTTTATTTAGAATTTTAATGGTTCCCACCATAATTTAAATGGATGATGCCCCTAAAATTGGCACGAAGTTCCAAGCCTCTGCCTCTGGCCCACAAGCCGTCGCTTGCGACTAACAAAAGCTGGACTCAACAACCTCTGAAAATTCTCGAGAAAATGGTTCCACTTCTCTTCATCCAAATCCGATAGCTTCACAAAACTACTATTTGCAGGCAACTCATTCACACTCCTGTTTCCAGATGATGTGCTGGCCAAACAGCCAGTCTTTTGCTTTACACCCTGGTGCTGCCAACTTTTTTCACCGACAGTAGTGTTTCTCATAGACACCAACAACTTCGAAATATTAGGCGCCCAATTTTCTTCAGGAACAGTGTATTCATCAGACCTTGAGGGCAACTCCTCCCCTTCATTCTCTCCTTCGTCCTCCATTAAAATCTCCTCCAGTTCAGAAGAAAAAGGGTTTCTGCCATTTCTAAACCTGGTTCCACGTTCACCTGAGCTTTCTGTCAGTTGCTCCTCTAAATTTGCAGTATAGTCCAGATCATGATCCTCACAGTCTATATGAAACTGAATCACGTCTTTGTCTCCTACTTCTGCCACAGGAGAAGAGAATTCTTCCCGATCTAACAGTTCCCTTGCTTCAATACATATAAGCTCAAGCTCACTGGGCTCTTCATCGTGGCCGTTAAATTCCCTGCTCATCACGTCACCAATTTCAGCTAGACAAAGACCGAAGGCTGCTGCCTCCTTAAGGAAGATTGTACAAAGAACCAAAATCCGCAAGCATGCTTCTCGAATAACAGGCAATTCCATCCTCAGTAATTCTGAGTCACGAAATGGGTCTAGATTATATATATAATTCAGCTCATCTTCTGAGAAGGGAATTGATGCCTGTGGCCAATGGATCCACTCAAAATAAGGATCTTCCAAGCTTTCAGGTAGGCAAAGGCCATGATCAATAGGAACAAGCTCCACCTGGCCAAAACTTCCCTCATCAAGCTTCCTGACCAAAAGATTTCCTGCATGTCTGTCAGTGTTAAACATTCGTATGTCTAAGATCCCAATCCTATGCACGGCAGAAACAGGAAAACTAGAAGTTCCATGATCACTCGCATCAAAATCATGAGGAATGTACTGTTGTAGTGATGCTATCTTACTGATCTGCTGTTTTTTTCGATGCATACCATTTACCCCATCATTTATGTTAAATATAGAATGTGTGATTTTCACGAGGGCAGTGGGTGGCACGTCAGCAAAATTATCATGGTCAAGAAGGTAAGCTGAGACTTCTCTAAAACCTGTCTCCCCAACACGCACAGAACGTTTCAATCCTGGCTGTCCAAGGGCTAGGCCAACAAAGCCTTTTGGGTTGTTTGGTGCATAAGGTTCCTCATCTGCTGGTTTCACAATAGCAATATTTTCACCATGGCAGTTCCTAAAATAATACGCACCTCCTAGTCCACTCTGAATGGGGATTGGTTCAACACCAAACCTTAATCCCTTCATAATATCATCAACCAGTTGTTTTGTTTTACCAAATTGATCTGAGTAACCTAATATCTCAATTGGTCCACTCTGATCTCTCTGCTGAAGATCTCTACCAGTAGGTGACAGACATGGGGTAGATGAGCTCCTATGCAAAAAGTTCCTGGTGAGAAGAAGCGGAGAATCATTTCTAACTTCACTCAGATCATTTTTCAAGACCATATCACCACATATAAGTGAACTTTCCTCGGTTGGAACATTTAATGCAAGTCGTAGCTTAGTCTTCACAGTATGGGCATTGTCACTTCTATCTAACTCTATTCCCAAAACGCAGCCACTTTCAGTCTGCACGAATACTCGCCTCTTTCCAGAAGGCTTTCTTTCCATTCTCTTGTTCCCACAACACTCACCATTAGGGGGTCCTTTAAAGGTCGCAACAGCCATCTCAGCATGCAAACAGGTTTCCAGATCAGGATACGTGGAAGGAAAAGGAGAAGATGCAAACTTCAAAGCCAGCAGCGGAGGTGACAGTGGCAGAGAGTTCCTCTCTCAAGCAAACACTGAACTCAGATGCTGGCACTTGATGTTGCAGAGAAGAGTTTGTGCCTTGAAAAATCATAGTCAAGTTGGTAAGATCTGAAATCCCCCAACAGTTCTCACATTGGAGCAGCGTTATTTGTAACGCTTATTACACATGGTCAAACCTCTACATTGGAAATGTAACCTGGCAACAGAAACTCATTAAAAATAAACAAATAAAAAGATATATAACTGGTAGAGGTTAGTGGTTGCACTTAAATTTATGCATTTCAGTATGAATCTTGATGTTTAGAGAAGAGGAATGAAAGAGGATAATTAAACTTTAACATGTAAAGACAGTCAGCCATTAAATAATAGGAGGTATCAATTATTATAGTTTCACGGAGGAAGGCTAAGTTCATGGATATCCACACCATTAGTGTAAAATGGAAATACAACATCTTACTTGAGCTACTCCTACGCAAATAAATTATGCTAGAGTTGCAGCAATTGCATGAAGTGGGCTTGTGAATCAGAAAAGATGCAATGATCATTATCGGCCTTGCCATGTGGGAAAAAAGGTTCAGTCATGACACTGTATAGTTTGGTTCGATACAGTTGTTCAGAAAAAACATACACTTGTAATGTCTCAAATTTTAGTTTTAATTAAGAAACCAGATAGTATGAATATAAAAACCAGCACATAAACTTTTTTTTACACCACAAATTTCCTTTCAGCTTTTTTCATCATCTTGATCTCAATTGTTCATAAATTAGCAAGCCTTTGAAAAAAAAAAAAAAAAACCTAATACTACCCTGGCTTCATTTTAGTGCCAAAACACATACCTTAGAAATTATTATTCAAAAGAATCAAAAACCATAATTAATTAGAGCCTTGCAACAGCCCTAACAGCCAAACTACTCACCTAAAAATAAACTTCGTAAATCAGACAAGCCAGTCATTCCATCCATGTCATGTTTTATTATCGAACTCCAAGATCTGACTATGTAGCACAAATTGGGAGATTCAGAAACAAATGGAACGCACAGAAGTGATGCGCGTATCCATGAAATCAAATTTTCCGCTGCTTCTCTTGGAGCAGTAAAGGGCTTGCTACTTCTGGGCCTCTAGATATTACTTTTACTTTTTATTCTTATTCAAAATTTTAAATTTTTTTATTTTTAATGAAACAGAATACAAAATAAAAATTTAGATTAACAAATTGAATAGTCAAAATTTGATAAATTTTATATTGTTCCTCTTGAGGGGCAGAGGAACCCGGTTCCTCACATGTCCATTGAAAGGCCTAAGCGAAATGCCTAGATAATGAGAAAAATGACGTCTCATTTCAAATAAGCATTAATTTACTCTTTAATCAGTCGAATAACATTCAAATAATCAACATGAGAGTAAATTTTTTTTTTATTTTTTTTTTTATCAAGTCGTCAACTTTAAGGGCGGGGATGACATAGCGATTATACGCCAGAAAGCTTGAAGAAAACTTAAACAAGAAATTCACAGATCAATCATTTAATGCTAGAAGGTCCACAAAAACACACAGGCATGTCGAACTGATAAGTCGGTGAAAAGGATTGGAAAAATTTACTGAAGTAATTCAGAGATCAACTATATCTAACACTCATAATCTTTACTAGCAAATTTATAAATCCAATGGATAAATTCTATTGCGAAAACAATTAAACTTAAAGTATAAATAGTTAATCGGATGGGATTCCCCCCTGCTTCAGGCTCCGGTGCGAGAAAACATGCCATTCCCCACGCAATACTGGCCTTTCTTAACATCTATTCTGAGAACTGAAGATTTTGGCCTTGTCAGTGTAAAAGAAAAGAAGACAAAAAAGGAAACCGTTCGATACCTAGAAAAATAAAAGTCGAACCCAAAAATATAGAGGAAGAAAATAAAAACACCAAAACTTGGTTCAACTCGATGTTTTTCCAAACCGAAACAAAAGAAGAAGCGACAATCACAGGGTCGATACTGAGTCAGTTACAATCAAAATTGCGAAAACAAAAGGCGAAGAAGAGACTCACCGGCGACAGGGAGATCAGACAGGGGAGGGCAGAGTTCAGGCGGAGCCCCCACCGCGGACAGCGGGCCGATATTGGAAGAAAGGTTGAAGATGAACAGCCAGGATTGGACAGATTGATGATCTACATCAAAAGCCGGGAAAGAAGCGATGGGTTGGTCAGTTTGGCACTCCCGCCATCGGAAGTTTGTCTAACTTCCCTTCGATAATAGCGAGACAGTGCGACTACCACCTCCGGGGTTCAACGGATTTTTTATTCTTTAATGATGCTTATTTGCTTATGGTTCTACTTTTCTTATTTCTTTTACTGTCATGAATCGACAACATAATGGCAACAGATAATGATACCTCACGCACATCGTTTCGCCACGTGGACCCCTTGGAACCTCCGGAAACCACGTGGACCTACTACAAAATTGCTGTCTATTTATTACATCAAAATGTAAATTACAGCATATTATATTATACTCTTGGCATAAATTTAGTAGAAGACTTTAATGATGACGATATGAAAATTTTATTAATGTCTTATTTTTTTCAATAATAATAATAATAATAATAAGGTTTTGTGCACTAATAAATTTTTAAAAATTTAAACATTACTTTTAAAAAGTTATCGATGCTTTTTGACAAAAAAATTATTGTTATAAATATTTTTGATATTATGTGAATGTCTGTCTGCGTTTCAGTTTCTCCAACACCTTTTTATTATTTCAATATATATATTTCAACTATTCTTATTTTATATACTTTATTTATTCCAATTAGTTACATCTGTGCTCATAAATAAGAGTCATTTTAGTTATATTCAACATATTAAAATGAGAATCATTTCTTTTCTCACTATCTTAACATTCTCTTATTTTAATATTTCTCTTCTTCTAAATTTTTATTTATTTTATAATACATTGTCAACACAAATTGTTCTACTCCTAGCATTATTAGGTCTGTATTTTTATTTTTATTCTTTAATTTACTTTCACTTATCCTATTAGTGAATTGTAAATTAATATTTATGTCAATGAACATCTATGATGTGAAGGGAAGCACGCTCTCTTTAAAATGAGCTAATCTCAATGACATATTTACTTGTTATTTATTTATCAATTTTATTTACTCAGTTATTTTCTTCTTCTCCTAAATAAAATGCATATTATGTCTCACATCTAGAGGAATGAGACACAACTTAAATTTTAAAAAATGAGGATTCTAAATTAATTCACAAATAACATAGAATGGATTTGAAAGTTATCCATACATAATATATAATAGATTTAGAAGTCATCCATAAATAACATATATTGGATGTGGAAGTTATTCACAAATAAGATGGAGTGAATTTAAAAGTTATCTACATATAATATAGATTGGATTCTAAAGTTATTCAAATTATATAAAATGAATTCTAAAGATATCTATAGAGTTTAAATGGATCTTGAAATTATTCACATGATATAATGTGAATTTTAAAAATATTTACATTTAATTATTTATTTATTTCATGATAGATTTAAATTTTTTAATTACAGTTTTTTTAACCATTCTGATCATGTTGTTGAAAAAATTAGATGGATTGTTGGTATATTGTACAAAATTCAAAAAAAAAAGAAGAAGATCTAAATAACATTATTGTTGAATTTATATTGAATATTTCTAACAATCTTGAAAATACAAATAAATTAATATAGGATTAATGAATAAATAGGATCTTGAACTCTTACTCGAAAATCACCCTAAGTTCTGAACTATTAAAATATGTAAAATAAATTTTAAAATTTTAAATTTATAGCAAAATAAACTCTAGTCATTAACTTTTTTAACATCATTACTGTCTACACAGGTATTGTAACAGTGAGGGTTAAATTTGTAGAAAAAAACCCTGAACAATACCTGTGTGGACAGCAAAGGTGCTAAAAAGTTAATGATCAAAATTTATTTTGATATGAATTTAAAAGTTTATGATTTATTTTATATATTTTAAGAGTTTAGGATCTAAGATAATTTTTGAGCAATAGTTTAGGATTTTATTTACTTATTAACCCATTAATATATTTAAGATTTATATTCTTTTAATTAACGGAAATGTCATTTTAAATTGTTTTCATCTTGCATGTAATAAAAATGGATGACCACCATAGAAATTGAATTGTTCGTTGAAAAAACCACCACAGAAATAATTAAACTGAAATACATTTTTATGTTAAAAAAGGGGGAAACAAATAAAAGCAACGCATCCCTTGACCAATGTTATTTACAGCATTATATGTGGTGTTTGCACGGGCGGAACCAGCCTTACAAATGAGGGGACCATTTTTTTTTTAAATAAATGTTTGTTTATTTTTAAAAATAATTTTATTAGTTAAAATATATTATTATATGATAATTATCAGAATTATAATTGCATAAGTATTTCAAGAAAATTGAAAAAAAAATACAAGATACCATATATCTAAATGACTAAATATAATATATGTTGTTTTTAGTAAAATATATTCCCCCCAATCCTAGTTTTTAGTCACTCTCAGTGTTTTCATTTAAATTAAAAAAAATTTTAAACTTTATTAACTTTATCTAAGAATTTAAAAAATTTTTAAGTTTATCCTTATTAAATATACATATTTTAAAAATAAAACATTGTAACATTTAATAATATTCTCAACATTTAATATGAACAAAAGGATAAAAATAAACACAATAAACATTGAAATGTTTTATAAATAGAACTGAAATAAATATTCTTTCTCTACTTTATAGATAGGATTAAAGAAATAGAAATAAAAGAACTGTATGCATATTGTATTATACACATATAATACGTATAGATATATTTATATAAATAATTAGGATACAGTGACACTTTGTTTCAATAAAAAAATTAGTATAAGTATGCATATTTATAGTGTTTGAGGGGCTGGGGGGCCCGAGGACCCATGTAGGCCCGCCCCCTGGTGTTTGGGTTAGGTAGTTTTACTAAGGCACAAGGAGGCAGTGACTTTCTTGCTCCATGCCTTCTTTCATGTACATTTTTGTTGCGTCCATACCTGCCCTGTCCAATCAGGTGAAAGATAACAAACAAAAATGAAAAAACATTGAGGGCCACATAAGGAAAAATACAAATAATAATGTACAGTTTAGTTTTTGAACTCTGTATATTAGATGAGGGCTAAAAGAAAGCACTCTTAAGTCTTGGGAGTGAAAAATTTTGGCCACGTATGATAGAAAAGTTTTTTTTTATAAAATTAAAATAAAAATTAAATTAAATTGAGATTTAAAATTATATTTAATGTAAAAGCTTTGGCTCTAAAATGAGTGGATATTACTACAAAATTTGCCTTTCTTGTTCGGAGCCATCACATGTGGTTTCATTTTCTTATCTAGAATCATCCTTGGCTTCCTTCAAAAGGATGAAGCTGTCTTCATTGTTAGAACCAAAAAAATGAAAACAAAATCATTGAGACATAAGGCCAAAACCAAATCGACGACGTTGGAGGAAAGCTTCACCTGAGGCATCATCACTATGAGGAAAGAGAAGTAGGAAGTGATGAAATGGAAGGTCGAGAGAACCTGGGTAGGGAGGCGCATCGGTGGAGGTTGAAGTTGAAAGGGCATTTAAAATATATATATATATATATATATCGACACAGTAGCCAATTCTATGTTCATATATGGCTGATTCTATGGCGATGGAATTCTGATGGAATATAATAAAATTCCTTGAAGAAAGCAATTTAGATATCAAATAACTCAATTGAATGATTTCATATTTAATTTCATTTCCCTACTTGCAATTTAAAGATACCAAACATGATCTTAGGTATGTTAGATTTTGAAAACTCATAGAAGGCATACCTCAAAGGTTAAAGAGCACTCACATATAAATTATCTACTAATAAAATTCTCACATCGATAGTCAAATTTAAACTCAAGGGTATAAACAAAATCTTTATTAATTGGATCAATTTTTATTAGTTAAAAGAAAACACTCTTTAATTGATATATAGCATGGTATATCATCTATTAGTAATTATTTAGTAAACATTACCTCCTATCATTATTACAAGAGACTTCTACATATTTAATAATATAACGTTTTGTTTAAAATGTTATTTTTTTAACCTTATACCTCTGAATGACTAGAAAGCTTTCTAACTAAAACTTAACTTTTATCGAGGTGATTTTGAGATTTTATAAGAAATAATTAATTTAACTAGCTTTATTGATTTTTGTAAATTAGTTAATTAGAGGTTAAAATAAAAGAGAGCCAAGGGGGTATTACTTATAAATTATAAAAATAATCTACAAAACGAATAAATATGAAGAATTAAGGGCCAAAGATGGTTTCATTCGGACATAGCTTCGTTCATCCGTGAGTATGGTCCCTTGTTGTATGACATAAGGTCCAAATTAGCCCTTTCTTTTGGGGCCGTGTTTGGCTTACCAAATCTGGGCAGGATGAGGAGGAAGGGACTTCTCCTTCCCAGCCGTTGAGCTGTTTGGCTGCCGGAGAGGCATTCCTGGGGGAAAACAGATTCAGCCACAGAATTATGATCAATCGAAGGAATCGCGAGGAAAAAGTGATTGAAAAGCACTGATGAATTGTTGCAAAGACGAAGAGATCACGGAGGAAGAAAGTTACAGAAGAGAACGATGCGCCAATCATGATAAAAGACATTTTTTTCCCCCTTGGGCCGGCGAGATCAACAAATGAAATCTTGGTAAAGGTGTTAAAATCGAAAAAGATATTAAATTGAGTGCCGTCTTGTGGTTAATTTAAAAATCAATCAATCACAATATCTAGACTAAATTAATTGTTGTTTTCTCATTAAATTTTATTTAGCAATTAAAATCTGTATATAATAAAATTTGATTCTAGACAATAGAGTTTGAGTTCACATTCTTATGATATACTCCCTTCGATCCTTATTATATGATACTTTTAATCATTTTATGTATATTAAAAAAAATTAAGTTCTCCCTTGTTATTAAAAAAAAAAGTGATATGTATTTTCATTTTTACTTTTAGCTTTAAATAATATCATTATATTGAATACCTTTACGCTAATCAAGAAGGAGTGAAATTTAAAAAAGTGGTTTAATCATTATAAAGTATCATATATTTTAAATCAAATATTAATTTTAAAAGGTGTTTTATAATTAGAACCGAAGGGAGTATTAAACTAAATTAATGGCCATGCTACCAATTGATTTTTTTTTTTACCTAAGAAAATTCTTTTATTGAAGGCAATATTGTTTGAGACACT